TCGCGCGCGCCTACCACATCGGTGATGCTGTTGAAAAGGATGAGGAGATGTCGGCCAAGTACATGAAGCTGGCAGAGGGCATCAGCCCCGAGAGACAACACGGTAGTGAGGCTAAAGCCTAGAATCGCACGACTTCAAAAATCTCAGGTGGACTGGCAAAGCTGTATTTTTCTGTATAATAAAATCTTTGTTTTGGACAGTCTGGCAATTCTGTTTGTTGGGAGAGGGGAAGGGACGCTCAAGCCTGGAGAACATGCACGTTACTGGAGTGTTCCCTCAGGGTTTCCAGGATTCTAAAAAAGAGGAGGAAATTGTTTGTTTAGGCAGACCAGTCATGGTAAACGGTAACTTCAAATACACTGAATAGCAAGCCTCAATTGCTTGAGCCGGCAAACACCTACCTCATTTATTCTCCATAGAAAATATATGCGTTTTAATGATTAGTGAGTTTCGTATGACTTTAACAGAAGGGAATTAACGGCCAATGCATCTCCACATTCCATTTTTCATGGTTAAGGAATCTTGAACCACAAGCAGACGTAGACAGACGTGTGTGCAATAGCTGACCGTACAACCGTCCGTCGAATGCCACGCATGGACTAAGCTGCATGAGGAATATGGTGTTGCTTTACTTTGCTGCTCTCGATCCGGCGCCGCAGCCCACCTGAAGGTGTCGAAGAGGAGGGCCACTGAAGACTTAGCTCGACACCGTCCGTCAAGACATGGAAGCAGTTCTTGGACCTTCTACCTTCGGTCTCCGTCGCTGGAGAAGAGACTGGGTGGAGCTCACCAGATCCGCTGCCATCAATCGTCACACATGGAGGGGTATTGTCCGTGACATCAATGAGGCCGGCTAGATCAGCCATGATCACAGCCATAACAAGTAGAAGTACAGACTAGGTTTCACTCATTGGAATGAGAGTAGGAACCGTTGCAGCTCGACCCGTCCGTTGGCAGACCACCATTTTCCGATAGTACAACAGTGCCCCAAAATTTATTATGAGGAGTGGATCTATGGGGATCGGCCTCGCTTAGTGTGAATGTGGCAGAAGAGAAAAAGCTACCTGCGATGGATTCGGAGACAGCGGCGGCTTCGCGTGCGCCACACACTTGCTCCCGTAACAACACTATCCGTTTAGAGAATGGGGGAACGGGAGAGGAGAGCAGAAATGTAGATGAGCACA